CCTAACAGCAGCCCTCCACCTCCTCGCCCCCGACACCACGGAAACCCTCTTTTAATCCCAGAAGGAATAACACGCTATTCCATCAGTGTTTGTGTGTTCAATTCCAAAAACAGTTGGTGGAGAAAACGTTTGTATCAATTTCTCCGATTACATTTATCTTTCATTCTTCCTTCATTTTACGGGGTAAAAATATAGAATAATTATACGCTTCACGTCCGAAGGTCTTTGGATTTTCGAAGTTGTAATAGTAGGGCGCGATGGCTCAGTGGTAGCGTGTCTGCCTTTTGTGCAAGAGGTCGCGGGTTCGATCCCAGCCTTTGGCGATTTTTTTCACAAAAATATCTCAAGGGTATCGATCGGTAACAAGAAATTCTGCATTATGGGCGGTGTTAGTAATGTGGGACTAGTAGGCTGGGCCTAATTGGACCAGGATGGGCATGATTAGAGGGATTGGGACTAGGATGGGCCCAATTAGGGCCAGGATGGGTCTAATTTCGAAAGAAAAACGAATGAATAAGAGCCCCTGACTCCTCCACAGACAAGTTATGAAAATAAAAACCTTGCAACAGTCTGGATAAAGACGATAAAGAACAAAGAATTGCTATCTAACATCCGCTATTATCTCCCATTAGAACAATTCACCGAGATAATACACGAAGAACGTAAGAAAAACACATGCACCTGAAGTTATGGGTCGAGAGAGACTAGACACTGTTGAAGTTTCCTCGTTAAGAAACTTCCTCTCTCCACTCATCCTCCAAAACCCTTCTCATATCCACACACCTGTCATATACATAGTTATATAGTATCCAAGGGTCTGGGCAACCACAACTCTGACTAGCGACAATAACGAGACGACTACGCCATGTTTTCCCGGTCGAGAACTAATAATCCAGATTCGTGACAAGAACTTCTGCCTTCCATCGATAATTAGTTATCAGGGGAAAGTTATTCGTTAAAAAGGGAAAATTAAATATTGGAAAAAAAATTGTATGAAACCGCGAAATATCCCATCGGAATATTGGTGAAATTTACGCTTCTGGAAGGCTGAGGGTAAGCCTCTGTACGTCAATTACTTCTCGAGATATTTTCCACTCCAAAGTTTTCAATTAAAATTCCCAATCCTAATTATCTCGAGAATTAATTATCAGGGTGAAGTGGCTCAACGTAATGACTCAATTCAACTTGAATTTTAGTTTTCTGTGAGTAACAGGCGAGTCTATGAGGGATAGCGAAATTTTTTGAAGGACTATTATTTATGAAAAATTGATGTTAGTTAATATGAAATATCTTTTGATCAAATGATGCAATTTAATTAAGGCAAAAAAAAATTTGAAGGTTGATGAAATATCTTCAAAATGATTCTAGAGAAATTCAATTTCACTCTGTCGATCTGAAGTTATTGATAACTGAGCTATAGCCACAAAGTTAGACTCAAGTTGTTACTCAAACTCAAATATCTTCCGACCAAACGAAGCGATTTGGGCGAGTCAAATGAAATTTCAAACCTGACTAAAATATCTTGAAAACGACCCCAGATAAATAGTCTTCCACTCAGCCAATTCCAAGTAACAGTACCCTGAGCAAATTCATCAACTCCTTCTAATAGCCTTTCGCTCGTAAAAGTCTTCATAAATGTCTCGGTGAAGACCGACGATTAAGTAGATCCTTAACCCAAAAAAATAAGAATTAAAAAATAATTGTAACGTGAGGTAAATAATGTAGGGGCCATGTAAGCCGCTTGTTAGTCTTCTATTTTCGCTATCCGGGGGTTCTCGTTTCACCGGATAGCGAGGGAGTAAAAAATGAGAGAAAAAAAAATCTTGAGGGGAAAAATATATACCGTTGAGGTAATGAAGGAAGAATGGAAGTGCAGGTGAGGTACGACCTCGTTTTTAGGGGCGAAAAACATTTCGCCCTTGGGGCTGAAACGACTGTGGAGTTCTCGATTTACACAGTTTCCATCGTAAACAAAGTGATTGCAGAGTTTTTCCGGGGGAGAAACTCTGCGATCACTTTGAAGAAAAATAGAGGGATGAGAGAGAGAGAGAGGGGGGGGGAGACGTCTTGAGAGGATCCGGGTTATTTATTCGGCTTTTTTGAGGGGATTGGAGTTTATATGTGTGTCTGGGTCCTCCGGGCAGTGGCGGAGGTCTTGGGGATTCGCCGAGGTATTGAGGATTTATCGATTTTCATTGTCTCCGGGGGAAATTAGTTTCATTATTTTTTCTCTATTTTTTCCAGTTTTTCAGGGGCTCTTGCGGGGGTCGAGGGTTAATCTCCACTCTTGTTGAGTGCTCTTGATATCGGAGGTGCTTTCAGCCACTCGGAGACCTAGCGTCTTCGTGGCGGTTCATAAAATCAGAAGTTTTGGGGCTCGAGGTTTAATTAAAACTGATTTGTCGTTCAATTGTCATTGATCTTTTATTCGATCTTCGATATTGTTGACGATCATTAATGATGACACGGCTGATGTCGCCAGCCGTCAGAATCTTCATCCGTCCAGAATCACGAAAAATCCGGGCAGAACGGCATTCAACGAATCCAATAAAATTCCCCAATTTAACCGAATTATCTTCACTCCAAATCCAATTTCCCCGGGGCATCATCAGAAAGATGGGATGAAGTTTCCGACTCAATGGGCGTGTGAATCAATTGTTCAAACTCCACTGAGCCCCACTCGGAATCATACGAAACCGAAAAGGGAATTTTTAGTTATGAAATCAACGAATTTCGTCTCTATCGGCGGACGAATCGATAATCCCGTCGTTTATCGCTCTTTAAAATGTGTCTTATCGCGCTGTCGGTGGGGGGAGTGGGTGCTGAGTTCCATCTGACCCACTTGGCATGACGTCAAAAAACTTGGCGGAACTAGTCACCCGTTTCACCGACATTTACCTGGATTATTGGGTATTGAAGAGATGCCCAAGTGCCCAACGATTTTTGTTCAACTTGCGCCACACCAGCCGCAAGCGATATTTATTTTCTCAATTCATTGTTGTGAGCATTTTCATTGCAAAAGTAATTCGACTGTATCAGCTGTTAAATTTTCATATGACAATAAATGATTTGCTCATGTTCTAATTCCTACGCTCACATCAGAAATTTTGTCTTTGGATATTAATATTATTTGTTCAAAGTGAAAAAATCGATCATCATTTTCACTATATTGCATTCAGATGCTCCTATACTCAACGCCAAAAGTGTGAGATGATCTCATAATTCTAGCTGTTAATTCGAATCAGCTTTGTTTGGAGAAAACCTTAGTAAACGCAATATTAAGAAAGTTGAATTATTCTATTTCCCTCTGACCTATTATGATTCGTTTATTCATGTTTCATAGAATGGTATTCAATTATCTTTTGTTTGTCACGCGGGCTTCATGAAAATTCAACGCAAGACGATTGTACTCATGAAAACCGCCTTACCGTCTCCATTTGTTCGAGATATTCGCCATGTTCGAGATGTCATTTTCGATTCGAGATATTGCCCATGTTTTTTAAAAGAAAGAATAAAAAAATTTAACACTGGAATTCCTTTCCCTGCACAATAGCCATCCAATTGAGTTTCCCCTCGGGTATCGGCTCCTGAGACGACTGGAATTGGCTCGGTAGATGGAAATGTCAGGTGGGAATAACATTTTACGTTTCTTTAAATATAAAATTGAACTTTCAGCACCGGCGACACACCTTCGGCTCACGATATCACCGCGAAAGATCACCCGAAACCACTTCATTTTTTTTTTTTCATTTTCGGGGAAAAATTGTTGCCGAAAAAATGAACACAGACTCAATCCAATCGCCCCACTACTTCCGGAGATATCGCCATTCCAAGCCGAGGGGAATCGCTTTCAACCGAGAAGCGAGAAATTTTGCATTTCTCCAATTGGCTGCTCGCGCGGGAAATGGAGTGAATTTCACTCCATGTTTTTTTTTTCTCTTCATCACATTTGAAATTTTCCGATGTTCAAAATGGTGTGAGCATTCAAGTGGCTCTCACCCATTTACTGGAAAATACAAAAATATTCGAATTGGTTTACTCTATTTTTGTCGAGGAATCGAGTCAACTTTTTCAATGGAGAAAGGGGCGGAATTGAATGGAATGGAAGGGGGGGGGGAGAGGGGGTGGTGTTGCATTATACAAAAGTTTCAAACTACAGGTCGTTCTGCTGGCTTCAGATGCCCGATGAATGTTTTGCTGTTTATACAGACGGGAGAGGAGAAATAAAGAGGAAAAATGGCGTAATCGTTTCTCGATGACGACTTGGGGGCGAGGAGAGAGGTTTTCTTCGCTGGGGAATTACGTTTTGTAGCTGGGGGGCTCGTGGAGAATGGGTCCCTCATTCATGAGGGGCGAAGGGGGTTTTGAATAAAGGGATGAAGGGGAGTTGTGGATTGTACTTACCTTCCTCATTACTGTCGTTGTCCAACAGCCAGATCTCCTCCTCGTCAAAGTGGGCGTCTCCGCCCCGGTCTCTGCCTGGGAAGAACGCGTGAGCGAGGATCTGACCTCTTCCGTCGAATGGGTATCCGTCACCGTGATAGCCTCTGCAAGAAGAGGAATAGGGTGAATGGATGGGTTAAGAATATGACTAGTCGGAAGCAGTTTCAAAGTCTAAAAGGTTCTTTGGCTTGCGCGGTTATTTTTAATTAACGATAACTTTTAATTGGCAGAGTGAAATTAAAAAAGTTTAGAGTCATTTTAAAGTCCTTTTCATGGGGTACAAAAACCTACAAATTTATCCAAATCGAATCTTTTTTAGGGAGAAGAAATCAAGGAACAGTTTAGCCGTCGAAAAGTTTCCTAGGCGTGCGCGATAATTTTCAATTGACAATAACTTTTAATTGGCAGAGTGAAATTTAAAAAATTTAGAGTCATATTGAGGGTTTCTTCATAGGTTACAAAAACCTGCAAATTTATTCAAATCGCATTATTTTTAATGAGAAGAAATCAAGGAACAGTTTTCCCGTCGGGACGCTTCTTCTCAGGTACGAGCGATAATTTTCAGTCTTCAATAATTCGACATCAATAGAGTGAAACAAAAAAAATTTGCGTCACTTTGAAGCTCTATTCATGACCTTCAAATGCCCCCAAATTCATTAAAACAGCCCCGTTCTGTCCCACTTTTTCTGACTCCCTGCCGAATCTTGCAGAATCTGGCCAAGAATAGCGCCAAAAAATAGAGTGATTGCACCATTCGCATCGATCATTTTTCTTCCCCTCGCCTTCTACTATTATATCGGAATAAAAATCACCACGTGAGAACAATAAAAGCGTCACGCCACAGTTCCTCCCCTGATTTTTTTTTTTCCGTTACCAAGAAATCTTGAAAACTCCACTCAACACATGTATCGTTGTCTATGGCATTCACCCCCCCCCCCCNATAAAATTTTCACCCCATTCCAAACTAGAAACACCGGGCAAACGGTAGAAATTACCGAGCGCCTTATCGTTACGTTTTGAATTAAACTCCGTGAAAGCTCTCGTGTGAAGCCACTGTTTAAACTCGGCGAGAGCCCCAAGAGATAATTTCCCCATCATTTTCGCTGCATTCAAATCTTTGCATTAAACCCTCCTTCTCCGCTCCCCTTTTCACATTTATCACAGGATAAAAAATCTTACCACCAAATTCTATTGTTTCCGAAGGAATAAATTCGAGAAGAGCAAACTTTTCAAATCGTTAAACAATCTCTCGGCAAAAATACTTATATTTTTATAAAAGTTTGCGAGACAGATTTCCCCGGTGTACGGTGTACTTTTATGTCTATGGAAGTCTAGAATATCGAGGGAGTCGAGTCTCCATTGGTTTCAGGAAGGTTATATTTCTGCGTTCGATTCCCATTTGCTGAAAAAAAATATAATGGTGAGGCGCGGGGGGAGGGGGGAAAAACAGCCATCCAATTCACCGTACGGACGGTCTCAGATTTTTCTCTCAACATTTCCTTCATGCTCTGTTTTTACATGAGAGTTTATTTTCCAGGAAAAACAACTCGACCAGATGTTGGTCTTTCGCGATGGCCAATGGAGCTTTGCAGGCAGTAGATTCTTCAAATATTTTGTATTTATTTAATGAGGTCCGAGTAGCCGAGGCCAGTTGCGTATTAATTGATATGTAATTAGTAAATTGTGGAATTTCCGTCTTCCTGCCATTAACAAAATGGAACTCTCGAAGAAAAATACTTCATTTGATTTAAATAACCTTCACTGAAATAAAATAAATCGTTTGTCAGAAAAATTCAAAGACCCAGAATGTCTCGCGTGCTTCATTAAAAAAAATTACCCCCATTATGCATCCAATTACCGAAAAAAATAATACCCGCAACGATATTTCCCTCCAAACAATACGAAGTAATAATAATAATAATAACAATCAGTGTGAATTCATCAGGAAATAATTACCCCCTCCAGAGGAGTGAGAGAATGGTCCGCATTGAGGCGACAACAATTCCCTTTTTTTTAACCATTCAAATTTCAATGGAACAACAAAAACCTCAGCTCAACCCCCCCCCCCCCCCCCTCCCACCCCCTACCGCCCTTAATACCAACTCCCGTATATATAACCAAGAAAGCGAGGGCTCGTGGGTAAACAGAGAGTGGGTGGCACAAACAGGGAAAGCCCATACAATCCAAAAGCGAACACATAAACAGAGGTTTTTAGGGGTCGTAGGTGTGCGAGGAAAAGGGGGGGGATAGAGAGGGATGGAGTGGGGGG